GGTTACGGTTGTAAAGGCTTGACATTAAGACTTGCTGCGGCTGGGAGAGAGTGTTAGAGTGAAAACGTTAGAAATATTGAAAATCAGTTGCTGTTGTTTTTTTTTTTGCAAAACAAAGTGTTATAGTGAAAAGTAATTCATATAAGCGAAAAGAAAATTGCATTCTTAGCACTTTTATTAAAAGTTGCCGACCGCAATTGCCGGGTGATTAGTATTGCGTACTGCCCTTCTAAAGACCAGGATTCAACTCCAGATTCTCCAAACATCCAAAACTAAAAAAATTGATTTTTCTAATTATGGTCGTCCCTAAGCAGGGTATGTAAAGCCCACCGAGTGAATTTCTGACATGAAATAAAGCTTCTCATAAGAAGACCATCAGCCGCTCGGAGCTAGTCTTACTATAAACTCTAGGTCCATCCATTTGTTGGAAAAACTTCAAGATGCGTACCACTAAGTGAAGCAGGAGTTCGACCGAAAATGGCTTCAGTCGCTACCAAGCGCCTTCTACATATACATATGTATATTCAGAGTTGGTTTAAGGACTCAGCTGATAGCGTAAGAATGCAAAAGTTATATTTAGAAACTATTATGTATGCAAGTAAAGAAAGATAATGTCATCACAGAACAAGTGCAGATGAGAAGGTCGAGCACAATAACGTTTAGATGCATAACACTATTTTTTTGATACCTTCTTCCAACTATAGGGGCTCCCTATAGAGGATGCGACTGTTCGTTTTTGAACAGTGCTAGGTTTCAGGGCACTTTTGCAGGATGGTCTATCAAACATAACCGCTGTCAAAGTCTTGATTCTAATGAGGTACCTTAGATAATCAATATGGTTCGATAATAAAGCCTGATGGTCAAGTTTTTGTGGTATAATAGTGGATCTTAGTTAGACCTTCGTGAGTTCGATAAAATAGATCGGTGGTAACCACAACCTAACTTAACCCATAGCAAGGTGAAGATTTTCTCATCAAACATATGAAGGGACCTCGATAATTTTCATGTGGCTATGTGTCCTTTAACTTAACGCCAAGATAGCCAAGCTGCCATAGAGGCCTTAGTTTCATATAACACGAATAATGCTGCGGTCGCACTAGATAAAGAGGCGATAAAAGCACTGTCTGAAAATTAGCAGACTCACGAAAACTATGTGCAAAACTTATGACGCTTACTATCGGTAAAGAGAGTGGACTCCAGGCTGCTGGTAGGTTTGTTAACGGGAAATTGCGTTTTGGTGTCGCATGCTTTTAATTAAGGTGTGATTGAGGACAACAAATGCAAAAAAAATTTAAGAATGTGGAAACAGAAAAGGAGTGTTCAGGATTCGGCTATGCTTACTGAGCGCAGAAAGGCTACAAGACCTTCTATCGGCAATGGCTAAGAGGCCAAAACGACTATTTCAGTTTTCAATTCTAACAGGAATGTCAGAAGCACAATAAACAGTGGTGCAGCGCACCTTGGCAGTATGTAGTGTGTCTGGCAACACTACGGACGTAATATCGTCCATGCGAGCCGACTCAACCTAGCTAACCTAACGTACGACATTATCTTCTTCTTTTCTTATTCTTCTTCTTTATGGCGTTGGCAGCGCCTCTCTTCTTTTCGCTGCCTGGCGCCAGTTGGAAATACCAAGTGGAGGTCTTCCTTTTCCTCTACCGCGCCATTATCAGCCTCAAGAATTACGCTGCTAGTTCTGCTTTCTCCAGTCTGGATAGGGAAATAAAGCGAATGGAGCTGATCTAGCAACCAGCAACAATGCCAACAACAATACTTGCCTGAAAATTTAACGCAAAATCTCTCTTGCTAACAGGTGCTCTTTTGACTCAGTGGGCAATTGATCTTTTTTGGTTCCAAAAAAAGCCAAAGTCAACGAATTTATTGCCGTAGTTGGATTTTTAACTATATTCTATAAAGCAAGTAAGTAAAAGTTTTTGAACATAAAAATATTCTTGCTGAAGTTCTATAAGAAGTGACACGTGTACTTTCTACAGTCTCCTGTGTGCGTGCCGAGGACACCTGTCGCGGTAACTGCCATGTTATAAGAAGTTCACTTGTTCTGTTTACTTATTTGGCAAATTTATTTGCTTTTCACGCAACTCATCTTCAAAGAAACACAATTCTCTTTCATTTTTATTTAATATACAAAAATTAAACAAGTGTTTGCCCACACTAACATCCCTAACATCCTCTCAACCACTCTCTCAACTTCGCTCTGTCTTTACTGCTGGCTGTGGCCAATATTGCTTTAGTATTGACGTTGTTGTTGATATCCAATATATCTTTCCTTTGTCGACTTATTGGCGTCGTTGTATGACAGCTTGATAGTGTAACGGTTTCTCTGCTGCAACATTGTAAATATACAGCGTTACAACAAATACAAGTAGAGTACTATTCGCCCACATAAATAGACTCGCGCACACGGGTATACATATATTCTCAAAACGTCAATTTGCACAGGAAATAGGTTGATAAATCATTTTCATAAAAGTTACTCATCCTCAGACCTTTTTAGAAATCAATTTATATAACTAATTTGACAGCAAAATTAATGAATAAATGTTAAATGATGAAGATAATATTGAACTTCCGAAACTAATATTTTTTGTAAATAGGTTTAGTGATAAGGAGAACTAAAAAAAAATACTTTTCATGAACTTAACTCAAAGTCATGTTATTGAAGTGCATTTTGGCTTTAATAGTAGTTCAACAGTCTACTTTCGTATAAAAAAAAATATATTTGGGATTTTCTCTAAGTTTTTATCTTAAGTCGTATTACCTAATTTTAGCGTCAAACGAAAGGCACACATACATTTATGCATAAATATATATATATATACACATATATTTCTTAGCTTAATTTCGTTTAAGCTTTGGTGCATCTGCAGTGTCTAGTGCATTAAATTTGCGCTACCAACAGGTTACTCCAGTTTACTCGGCTTCCAGCAGCTGCTGGTTGGCCTCATTTCACATGGCAGCAAATGAAGTTTCATGTTTGAAATTTGTTACTTCTATTTAAAATCTCGAAAATTCACAGCCTTTGTCATGGCTACGGAGATAGTTTTAAGAATTCGCTATATTCTTCAGTGTTAATTTCTTATATTAATATATATCTTTCATTTTATTATATTCTATTTTTACTATTTTATTTTATATTATTTTATTTTTCTTTACTTTGTTCTAATTTAGTTAGTTTTATTTTAAATACTTTAATTTTATTTTATTTTATTTTATTTTATTTTATTTTATTTTATTTTATTTTATTTTATTTTATTTTATTTTATTTTATTTTATTTTATTTTATTTTATTTTATTTTATTTTATTTTATTTTATTTTATTTTATTTTATTTTATTTTATTCTATTTTTTTTTTTATTTTAGTGTATTTTATTTTATATTAAAATGTTTTATTTTGTATTATTTTATTGTATTTGATTTTATTTTACTTTAATTTTATTTTATTTATTTTTTTACATTTTAGTTTATTTTATTTTGTTTTATGTTAATTGTTTTAGGATTGTTTCTTAGAAACAACGATTTTTAGTGAATATCATATAGCCAGATAATATGTGCAGACATCCGTATTTGACTTAGAGGCGCTCTCATTTCCCTGAAATTTGATTCTCAATCATTGTTTGTCTTTCTTCGAGTAGTAATAACTCTTAGAACTGGCAAAATTATATTATTTTAATTACATGTAATACGACTAGAGTAGACTGAAATTGTTAAGAAAATTATTATTCAGGACTACTTTATTTTACTTTTATTTATGTTAAAATAAACATTAAAACTTTCCACCACTTTTTGACCCAGTTCTTATTCACTCGTGAAAATGAATTTTCTGTAGAATAAAGCAGGGTTAGTAGCTCAGAAAGTAAATTATTTTTTAATATTTTATTTTCAGACAATTGAATAATTATTCTACTTGTCTGTTTCCTTTTTTTAGTGTCATAAATATATGATTTATGATTGAGGACTAATCTCCTTTTCTTTTCAGTCAAATATTTTCTTATGATTTACTACATAAGCACACTTTTAACCCCCAAAGCAGAGTAGAACAGCTCAGGTTATAACCTCACTGGCCGATGGATTGATTGATCTTCACTGTCTCAACGCCTCATTGCACAATTCTAACAAGTATCATTAAACGCGTGCTACAACAAATGGCGCAGACAAGAACTAATAAAAAAGTGCTAAACAGAAATCGATACACAGGTGTACTTGTATGTCTATTTGTCTCTTTGTTTTAATACATATGCGAAACGCCGTTAGCCGCTCGCCGTTTATGACAAGAGCAAGCAACTTAACCTGTATATACCGGTGTAGTGAGTTTACTTTAGTTGGACGCGGCGGCGGAATGCACCAAAGGAGCAATAAAAGAGCTTAATTCCGGCCTAAACAAATCAGGTGTTAACGCTCTGTGTAGCAAGAGCCGAAGTAAACAGCTGTTGCTGTGAGGCTTAAGCGAATAGCTCACAGTTGAGAGGGGGCAAAATGTAATGTGAAAAAGTCAAAACAACGCGCGACTAATGCCATTTTCGTCACATAACGTGCGGTGCTGGTAGTAAACGGTGTTGGCATTTTAAGAGCGCTTGCTGAGCAAAAGAGTGCAGAGAGTGTATGAAAAAGAGTATTTGAGCTTTGAAAACGATAAGCCACGCAGCAAGTAGGCAAACTGGATTGCAACTGTGACAACTACTGATTGTCAAACCGACAACAACAAGCACTTACAGCTTCATTGCAGCTGATGCGCCGCACCAACAAAACTTACAATTAACACTAGATGAAAATATCAACGGCAACAACAACAAAAACAACAACTGGTTTTCAAGCGCCGCTACTTCATACAACATCATCGTTAACTTCAATGAAGTTGTAGTCATTCTGGTGTTGTTGTTGCGCGACTGGTTGTGGCTTTTAGGCCACATAGCAAACAAAAACAAGTCAGCTCACAGCAAAGCAGAAATATGCGCGCGATGATCTCAACACGTTCAGTTGCCAGATGACATCGCATGCGTACGCACACGCCAACGCTCCACAAAAGCTGACTACTAAGCTCATAAATATTATTGTAGGGAATTTGAAAGCGCAAAGTGTGTATTAAAAAAAGCATCAGCAAACAAAATTTCAAACAAAACGCTTACAATTATGTTAATGTGTAAAACGAAAAGTGTTAAATTGTGAAAGTCAAAGACGACGAAGAAGAGGTGACAAAAATCAGCGAAGCACACTAAAAAGTAACAACAAACAACAAAAACCGATAAAAAAAAAGCCTAATTAAATAATTTCAAAAAAGGGCGCCCACTATATTTGCTGGAGAAGTAGATAGCAACTGCTTGAAATTATTGCTTTCTCGTTATCGCTTTTCAATCACTAATTTCTTAATGCTTTTGTGCCTTTCAAGTTCAGCTAGAAGTATTTCATTACGCTAACAACTCAATAAATGTGCTAAATAATTGTTATTATGTCGTTTAAATGTATTTATTTTTTTTTATTTCATTTTATTTTTTTTTTTTGTAAAAGTGCAAACACTAAAAGAAAGTAACAAATGCCAAGCGGCTAGCCAAAAGTGTTAATTGAACGGTCTATTGAATTAAGTGGCAATGAAAAAGTGTACACAAACTGCAAAAAATATCAACAAAACGCGAAAAAAGTTGACAATTTACCTACATACATAAATACATATATTACAAAGCTTACAATTCATTGCTCAGCTGCTGAACATTTTAGTGAAATTGTTTAATAAAAAAAATTAAGGTGACAATTTGACATACTCACCCACAATCGGTGAATGGATTTTTGTACCCAAAACTGAAGTGTGTAATTTGTTACAAATATTTCTGATTTTCTTCGCCAAATTGTTGCGCTTTATAGCAATTAGAGAAGAGGAAAAAAATTTATGTGCTTTAGAAATTCCATTTTGTGTGCGGCATGGACTACCAAACAGTTTATGGGAAATATTTATAATTGAATGCTCAATTTGTTTTTGTATGTGCTGCTGTTAGAATAATTTCCTCCTTTAAAAGAAATATAATTTTCTATAATTTTAACTAAATTTATTTAAATTTTACTAAAACAAATATATATATAAAAATAAGCTTTCAAATTGCAGTCGTCCCTGTGCAGGGAATGTCTAGCCCTCCGAGTTCTGTCAAAAATAAATGAAATAGAAGCTTCTCATAAGAATCCAGCAGCCATCCAATCGGAGGAGGCTTAGAATAAACCGTAGGTTATTCCATTTATTGGAAAAACAACAAGACACATACCAAAAACTGAAAGGGCATCTCGTTTGAAAATCACTTTAGCGGGTATAAAGCGCAAAAATTATACAAATTACAAGAACACAAGCTAGAAACAAAGAACATTAGCAACGAACTTCAACATCTAATTCTTCTTCTTTACTGTTTATAACATTGCGTCAATCATTTTTCTCTTTGCTGTTTAGCGCCAATTGGAAATACCAAGTACAGCCAGTTCCTCCTCTACTTGGTCTTTTCAACGGAGTGGAGCTCTTCCTCTTACTCTGTTTCCACCAGCAGGTGCTACATCGAAAATTTTGCAAGTTGTAGTATTCGTATCCAGCCGGACTACATGCACCAGCCAGCGTAACTACTGCTTCTTTATCCGCTGAATTATGTCAATGTTGCCGTATACCTCTTACAGCTCATCGTTCCTTCGGCTGCGGTATTCGCCGTTCCCAACTCGCAAAGAGCCATAAATTTTACGTAAATCCTTTCTCTCGAAAACTTTAAGTGCCGGCTCATCAGATGTTGTCATCGTCCGTGGTTCCGCACCATACAGCGGGACGGGAATGATGAGCGACTTGTAGAGTTTGATCTTCATTCGTCAAGAGAGGACTTGGTGGCAGGTGATATTTCGTCTTGTCCTCGTTCACTACCAGTCCTCTTCGCTTCACTGCTCTATTAAGCCGGTAGAAAGCAGAACTAACGACGAGGTTGTTGGGGCCAATAATATACGCCAACAGCTAGACAGTCTTAGAAGAGATCCATTCAACTGCGAGGCTCATCCTGTTTCATCCAGCAGTAAATTAGAGAATTCTTTCACACAAAACCCTCGAAAACACCTTATATGCAATAATGAAGATGCTTATCACATGGTAAAAGGCGCAGACTGTGTGATCCTCTGTTTCATGGAGCGGACAGAGCCCATTTAGGTGTCAATTGACTAACATGCTTTTATCCGCACATATTCTGCAAAGTAGCTAATGCATACGATTTGTCAGCTCTTAACAACCATGCTTGAATAGCTCTGTCGATAGGCCATGAACCCCAGCCGCTTTGTTGTTCTTGAAACGATAAATTGCTTTTCGAACCTTGACATAGTCAGATAGTGGAACATCCCTTTTATCGTCATCGATTGGGGAATCTGGTTCACCATCTCCTGGTGGTGCACTTCGACCGTCATTCAGCTGGAGGAGTGTTCCCTCCTTAATTTGAGTATACTCTGTGCATCGGTCACTAGATCCCCACGTTGGGTACTATGAGAGTTTGCTCTAGTCAGGAAACCTTCTGTAAGTTGCAGTATCTTTTCGTAGAATTTTCGAGCAACACGCATGTTGGTGAGCTTCGCAAGCTAATCATATTCACGCAACTCGGCCTCTTTTATTTTTTTCGTCTACACATGCGTCTTGCTTCCCTTTCTTTCTACCACACCACGGCAGTCTCCATCGTACCAGCTGTTTTTGGTGCCTTACGAAATTATTAGTTTTGTTTGCATCTGTACGTAGGGAGCTTCCCTCTGACTGAGTTGCTAATAAGTTTCTCACGTCGAACCTTCCTTGCGTTCTTTGCTGCACACACCTGGTATGTATACTTGCTACTACAACATAATGGTCCGAGTTGATGTTGGGTCCTCGGAGCGTACGCACCTCCCTGAGGTCTTTTCCCTTCGTCTATCACAACACAAACTGGAGTCAGTAGAGTCGCTTGACGGATCAGCCTCAGGCCATTTGTAGATGTTTCGTCATTGATCTTGAATTTTCCGACAGTTCTACCTAGAATACCTTCTTTGCCCACCCTGACGTCAAAGTCACCAAGCACAAGTTTCACAGCGTTCGTGAGTACGCTCATGGCGCTCAAACAAGTCATTATTGGTAACAATTTCCTTTACTACTAGCGTGGGAGCAAATCCACCCAGGGTGAATGCCAGTACTCGACGACAAAGTCTCTCTCGCCTTTCACAATAATTAAATTTTTTTAATAACGAAGAGTTTATAATTTAACTACTTTTTCATTTATTTGTCAAGGAAAATAATTTAAACGACAATTCTTGCTCTGATTAAAGTATATAATCGATCTAAAGTAGTTCAGTAGAAGCCGTTCGAGACTATATATCATCGACGCACTCAGGCTCATACTAAATGAGATACCATGAAAATTACTCTGTTGCTTTGGCTGCTTTCGTGGCCATTTAAGCTCCCACATCAATTTCAGTAGCTGCTGGCACATGGTAAAGGCTTTCCATATAAGCGATTCCAGTATACAGATGTCACTGCCGCCAAGAGAGGAGCAATAAGTTAACTGCCGGAAACTCATCTCATACATCTCGTCATTTCTAGAGCTTCGGAGCGTTCTCTAATAAATGACTTTTTGAAAGCTGTACTATAAAGCAATATCTCGCCAGGATGCGAAAAGTCCTATTTTCTCAGAGAGTATGAGTCACACTATCTTCTCCGATACTTTCAACTGCGACTGGGAAGTTCGGTTCCAGCCTCAAAGCGGCGTCTCTGTGTGTGAATTCTTCATTCAAAATGCTACTTTGCATGTGGCGAGTGGAAAATATTTTTTTTTTTTTTCAAAAACTCCACTTTTCCAATAATTTATTTCGCATTGTAGTTCCCCTATACATATATTTCTCAGGGACTCAAGGGAGGTTTCCTGTTCTATTTACTTTGTTCCAGAAGAAATCTGCGACAAACTGCATCGATTTTGAATTTTATGGTGATTTAACCTATCTGACTGGCACTGAAAGTATTCGGTTCCATTATCCGTAAAGCTTTAAGAAAAAACGTGCAAGCAGAATAAGCCGTTCGTTGTATAGCTCTCAGTCACAGCGTACGCGTTGTTGTTATTAATTGAAAATATTTAGAATATCTAAATAAACCTGCCACAAACCACAAAACAACCAACCTCCAATTGGCTCTATTGGCTCATTGACCAGTACTCAGTGAAATTTCCCATCAATCCATTGAAAGTGCATCCGCATCCATCACACTGCTATAATCTAATTTAATTCTTTCCATCTCAGTTACCTTAAAGAACAAGCTCAACCGGATACTAGTGAAAGAAGTGATTACAACTGAAGTGAATACGATGAACGAAGTAGAAAGTAGTTAAATATAACATTTGAGTCAGACTTTAAATACTGACTGAACTAAGAAATTCTAAAAATCCAAATCGTAAATGCCGTGAATTTCTTTAATAAAGTGAATATTACACACGAAGAAAAGCAGAAAAACAGAACAAAAAGTAATGCAGAAAAACCACAAACAACTGTCAAAGTGTACGCATACATAACAACAGCAGCACGAGAAAAAATCTCTAAGCCCCCCAGAAGAAGGTTTGACAGCAGCAACGACGATGGTGAGAACCACCAATCCAAAGGAGGACAAGCCAACAGCAACAGCAAAAAGCACATACAATAAATCAATCATATTGCCAAATTGGATGGAACAACCGCAAGACAGCACCAATATGGCATACAATAATAACAACAACAACAACAACAACAACAACAACCAAAGCAGCAAGCGAAACGAGAAGAGCATCAAGAGCGAAAATAGTCACACAACCGCCGCGGCTGATGCTGCGAATAACCACAAATATTGCGTACGAAATCGGCACAGTAGGCCAACGCGAGCACTTAACCCAACAAACCAAAGACAAACACCGCTGCGTTTGTTGCTGCGTTGCTGTCACTTGTCCACCACATTGCGTCCAATGGCGCTGCTCATCATTATCATCCTGCTGTCGTTTGAATATGTGACGCCAACTAAAATGGCAGACTTGTACGAGAGTACAACGCCAATGCAAGCGAGTATTAGTGGCAACAACCACGCGCTGGACGCCTCCAAGGAGAAGCTTAGCAACCCGGCGGCGGAGACGAAGACGTTGACGACAGAAGCGCCAATTAATACAACGAATTGGCAAGAATTTGATGTGACCACAAATCGCAGCTATGGATGGAGTAATAAAAGTCAGACGGCCGGTGATGCTAACAACTACAATTATGCTGGTCGCAGCAATAATGGTGGTGATTCGATTTTCTTGCGTTTCGCGCGTCGTTTCTCCACCGGCAATGAATTGTGGGATGATATTATACGCGGTTGCTATTTGCAACCAAGCTTTAGTTGCTTCCAGAAAAATGTCTTCACTTACTTGAGTGGCGCACTCGATGCACATGACGTAAATATAACGCAGCGCTTGAAATTCTATCGCAATCAAGTGGACTATGCGGACATGCAACATGAGCCGACGGAGGCGGCAGCAGCTAAGGATGGCAGTGTGGATGGTTCGGCGGAGGAGGGTGGGGCAGTAACTATGTCACCGTTTGGAGAGGAGGAAAATTTGCTTAGCAACGAGATACCACACGACGATGAAGGACGTGCGTCAAAAGGTAAGATATATTTTGTTTTAGATACTTTCCTTTATTTCTATGGATATGTTGATAAATCAATAATCACATATATACTATACATGCATATATTATAGTTACACAAGTTGACCCGGCAAGTTCCCCTTAACCGAAATTGCTTTTATTTTTCTTTCAAAAATTATTCAACAAATTTAATTAAATACTTGGATCAATGAGTTTTGGCAGCCGTACTAGCTGAGTCGTTAGAATTTTTCGTACTGCCCTACAGAAGGTGACGGTTTTGATTCCTGGCCAGAGAAATATTTTAAATTTTCGTCGCTACGTTGTTGAGAATCCCCTCGTAGTGAAATACTGACATGAAATAAAATCTTTTCATAAAAACCTAACAGCAGTTCGGAGGCTGCTTAGAGTACAGGCACATAAGGAGTCGTATTTGGATTAAACTGACGCTTAGAACGCCAAATTTTCTTACATTTCATTTGTCAAAGTGTTGCTTACACTTGTCTTCGTAAGCTGTGTAATATTCGGGAACATCTTCAGAGCGCCAAGGTGAGGCAGCAGTCGTTCCTAAAACGTGAAAAGCTCGTCAATACTTCCCCAACGACTTAACACAGATAAATATGCAATTCTTCGTGCTGAAAAATATGAAAAAGTTGATTGATTTGCTTAAAAGAAATACGCTTTTCGAAAGCACAAAATTCATGTTCCAAGTGTAAGTCGATGGGCTATTCTGACGTAGATTCACGAAAGCCTACGGCGTAAATGCGAGGTAGTATTGAATGACAACATTTCCGAGTAATCAAAACATCTTTGAGAATCTATGCTTAGAGGCTTGTCTTGAATCTTTAATGTAACAGAGCTGCTCTAGAGGCTAATTTCTATTAGATGGGCGAAGGTAGTCTGAGACTGATCGAATCTAATTGGATCACATATGTTTACCAATACGAAAGAGTTGATAGATATTGGTATTGACTTTGTAGGTGTTATCGTATTTCTTGCTGGCTCGTGGCTGATGCATTTAGGCTCTTCGACCCCTGGGCCACCATTAGGATTCTAACTCCTTCTTAAATGTGTGAATCATTTAGAACCTCTGATAAAACTTTGAGATTTTAAATATGTAATGTGATTAGTTCAGCGATGTAGTTAAAATAATAATAATGGGTGTTTTTTTCTACTTGTGGTTTTCAAGAAAAAATGAAATGTATATAATTTAATAAAAATTATTATTATAAAGGGGGTTTGCCAATATGATTTAAAAATGATTTCGGGCAAAAAATCGTCTGGTTGGAATAAACTCCATCCGAGAGTTCCAATTTTCAATTATTTTTACAGTTATTGGGGTCGTATGTGACAAATATTGCACGGAATATTCTCTTAGAAGACCTCAATCGTTTCGGGCTTCTGTGCTACCTCACATAACCCCACAAATAACAGTCCAGTGGTGTTAAATCGCATGACTTGGGAAGCTATGACACCAAATGTAGCTAAGTAAACCAAAGAGTGACGTTTTGAAGTTATATTGGCATCTCAACAATGGCTTCTGTAAGGCTAAGCGAAATTTTCTTCTGAAACGTGTGACTCGCTGAAATGTCGTTCGGTTTCAATTCTTGCACGAACTGGACTTTGTAAGCCCGCAAACTAGGACCTTTCTCCAACATCTTCCATAAAGTAGATGGGCCCAGTTTCAATTTAGTTTCATCTTCGATACTCTGCTACACAGCAGCAGAAGCGTCTTCGGTGCACACTGTACGGCCTCTCTGAGGAAGCGCATTATCCACTAGAGAAAAAGTGGTACGAAACATAAACATGGTTTCTCGAATCACCAAACTACGAGGTGTGACAATTAAGTAATGACACTGATTCCATAAAAACGGTATATATCAAAATTATTCTACAACTCTGCCATTGCCTTCAAAGTAGTCCCCTTGGGCTCGTTTTCCATGTTTCGTAACACTTCTGGAACGCTTCGACTGGGATGTCTGCGAGTACTCTTCTCACGGCCACCTGGACATCCTCAATCGACTCAAAATAGGTTCCTTTGTTTCAGGGAATAAAAAAAGTCACAGGGTGACGAATAAAACAGTTGTTGCAACACGGCGATCCTTTGGGAGGCCAAATACTGGGAATCGCTGATTGCGGTGTGGCACGGCGCGTTGTCGTGTTGAAGGATCTAGTTACCAGCGATCTCTAGGCGAACCCTGTTGACTTGTTTTCTTGGCGGTAGTAGACTTGATTTACCGTTTGCTCTTATGGAAGAAATTTTTTGTGGACGATTCCACGGCATCCAAAGAAGGCAACAATCATCGATTTTACCTTCGACTTGCTCATGCGAACTTTTTTCGGACGGCGTTTGGTTTTCGGGTCTAAGAACCCTATCACCATGCACTTTTAAAAATTTTAGCGTACGTTTTCGAAGCTTTTTCGCCCAATTTCGTGCAAAATTTTTATCGCGACGTGTTGTAGGCGAACTAAAGAAGAAATGGAGAGGAGAACCCGAGCCTTCCGATTAGCAGTACGCTATGCTAATCACTACCGCGGCCACCAGGTAGTTTCTTTCGTTCGTATGTTAGTGACTTCCATCGGTGGTTTTTAGTACTAAGCAGGGTTGCACGCATAAACAATGTCAATTTGCTTAACTTAAAAATTTAAAATAAAAAAATAAAACAATATTTTTCGCTGCAAGATTAACAAACTTCTCTCGCGTCAATTTAATAACAATATTTAAATAATTAATTCATCTTTGTCCACCCCTCCGGACATGAAATAAAGGTTCTTCATAAAAAAAATGGTTCGGAGGCGGCTTAGTATAAGCTGTAGGTCCCTCCAATTATTGGAAAAAGATGTCTTCATGTGCATAACCAGAAATTGAAGGAGGAGCTCGGCCGAAAAATCATTTCAGCGGTTACAGAGCGCCAATTATATATATCTTTCAATTAAAAAAAAAAATTTTGACAGGTGACAAGCCTCCTAGGAGTGACTAAAATTCCTCCTAACTCTTTTCAATTTACTATCCATTTTATTGTAGAATACTTTGGGTGATAAACTCAATTGAATAAAATAAAGAAAAAATGTCTCCACTAGAGCTCTAGATATCAGGGTATTCGCTCGATAATTGGTCGTTGCTCAGCTGGTCAAATGATAGTGTGAAAAATTTCAATTTACAATTTTGTTTGCTCGAAATTTCCATACACTTTCCATAAATAGAATTATAAATAGTAAATTTATTTATACAAAATGCACAAAATCGCTTGAAGAAGCTCGTTTCGTTCGAACAAAATCTTCAGCTCTAGTCTCAGCCGAGTACAAAACAGTCGATGATAAACTTATTTTTCGCCACCGGAAGTGCAATTACTGCATATTTTATTGTTTATTGCCTATCATCACATCGACAATTGTATTATATAATGCAAAGAGTAATAACTATGTTGCAAAATACTAAAAGTCACTTATATCGTGTATGTATGTATGTATGTAGTGTTCAAAAGAGTTATTTTCTATTTGCATAATAAATAAATACTCGTGAATCACGGCAAGAGAAGATAAAGAAAATAAATAATTAAATGAAATAAACTTAATTGCATGAATTGTCTTGTACATTTAACCACTCTATTAATTGTTACGTCGAAACTCAAAGCAGTACTTATTTAGCTATTATGTAATATACCAGATCAGATGACAACTTCAAAGAGAAAAAAACTACTTCAAAATGAGCTTAAATGAAATCATTTTGCAGTAAAGTGTGTAATGAAAGTTTTAGCTATGCAACATAAACAAAACAAAAAAACGAAAAGTAATAAATTGAAAATAAAAAAAAAAACCGCTGGACTTGACCGCAAGAAACTGTAACGGCGCTTTTTTACTCAAATTTAAAAAAAAAATCGCATCAAAATCAAAGAGTAGCTACGCTGCTGCGTACGTGTGGCAAGCTAACTGTTTATTTTCACGCATATAATATGTATATGTAAATACATGTATATTTTTGTAAAAGCATATGAAAGTGTATGATTCAACTTACACACACACACACACACACGCGCGCGCGCGCACACAACCTCTGCGTTATTGGCTCACTTGAAATTTTCACATAAATTTCGGTTACGAATTGACCAAGCAAACCGATCGGCGTAAAAATCTCTTAAACATGCATGCATACATACATAAATAAATAACTTCTATCGACATACATACGCTTAAATATTTATTAACATTCATACATATGTACGAGTATATAGTATGTATATGCACACACGTACATACATATGTACGAACTCACTTACTTTACTTTCATACGCTGATTAGTGAAAGTTTCTCCAGCAAAAGTGAATTTTTGTTAAGAAGAAGCACTCACACAGTAACAACTACAAAGCTGGTAACAGATAACAGATCGGTGATTCAAAGCAGATGCTAAAGAAGAAATAATGAAGAAGAAAAAAGAAATTGAAATGAAATGTGTTAAAAAAAAAAAGTATTTTTATGAATAACAAATAATGCGTTTGAAATAAAGCGATAGAAGAAAGATGCGAAGAAGATCAATGTCGATCAGCACGTAAAAATATTCACCTCACAGTCACGCTTAGCGTTCGAATCTGTTTGAGTGTTATAACAATAGCCACGGTAGGAAATTCTTGAGCTGTTTTTACAGGGTAATTCTTCACCAGTCAAATCAGTCGCCATAGACAGGAAAAGTTCGCTTGGATTGGAGTCCGGATGCATAAGAACCTCCCAACCAAGTTCTCGGAGAAAGTGAACACCGCGGCTAACTTGGAGTCACTATCGATATGTGTGATCTGGCATTGTCCTGATGAAACACAATTCAGTATGGGTACGAATTAAGAATTTGGCAGGAGGGCGCAGCTCATAGTGGATGATTCATTGTCAATTACACAAAACACACGATGACCGTTTATGTTTTAGGTTGATTTGAGTTGAGTTGATGTGGCTGCTGGGCAACCCCAGCACACTTAGGCCTTCACCTTCCGAAATAATCGAACCATTTCGTGTGCATTATGAAGGCAGCGAGA